AAAAGACAGAGATGAGAATAAGCCAGGATAGAGATTTCATGCAGTGTTTGCTTTAGCTGTACCACGTGGAACAGCAGTAACAAATTCACTCTAAAAATTCAGTAATTTAAAGACCACTGACTGTATTTGTTCACTCTCATAGCAATCCAGGGTAGCTTTCAGGATAGTTGAATGACTCTTTCTCCATGATCATAAAAACACTGAGACAGCAGTTGCTTTGCCTATTTCTATGTGTCCCTCAAGGTATTCACCCAAGCGAAAGATGGAAAAGAACACAGAAGAGCCCAAGTCCATGCCTGGACTGTACACATCCCCCCTCACAACTCCATTCACTGCAGCTCAGCAAGGAGGCCAGGCCTCACTAAGTAGGCACCAGCGAGGCACAGGCTAGTTGGCCATCCACATTTTCCATCATACTGGGAGAAGTAGAACACGTTCTGGTGGACAGCTGGAAGTCTCTATCACAGAAATAAAACATCAGTGATTTCAAGGAATAAAGATGAAGAAGAATCATTTTACCCAGACAAGAAGAATAAAGATAACCAGGTTATGAACCTCATCAGTTTCCAATTTGTTAGCTGATTAAAAAAAAAAAAAAACCCAAAAACCTTTTTTTAGATCAATTTTATTTTGTTATTATTTTTAATGTATTTTGTTGTTGCAGGGTCTCACTATGCAGCTTGGACTCATGATGATCCTTGGGCTTCCATCCTCCCCAGCACTGGGATTATAGGCGTAGGCCACCACGCTCAGATTCTGGCCTTCTCGGCCAGGCCTGGGGATGGGGCTGGTGTGGCATGTGGTGCCAGGATCAAACAGCAGTCCCTGTGCTTGCTTAAGCAGGAACTTTAGCCTGCTGAGCTATCTCCCCGTCCCTTCTAGATCACTTTTAAAATTGTTTCTAGCTTTAAGTTTATGTGGTTCTGGGAGCTAATATTCAATGAGAATTGTCTTCAGCTGGAACAGGGTGTTCATACAGGAAATAGCCTTGCTTCTTGGCCCTGTGGATAAGATCAAGTGCCTACTGGAAATAATGCAAGATAACTTGTACCGGATGTGAGTAGAATGGATCTCAAATAGATCATTATATTTCAACTGAGATTGATAAAAATCAAGTAACAGCTATAGATTAAGTATCTACATGTGGTAGTTGATTTTATCTGTCAAGTTCACTGCACATTCCACTAGTAAAACATTATTTTGGGATGTTTCTATGAGGACTTCCAGAAAGATGTTAGCACTGAAGTTGGTAGACCAAGAAAAAAATCCACCATCACCTCTTTGGATGTGCATCATATAATCCATTTGACTTCTGGAAAGAATACAAAGGTGGAGGACAGGCAAAGTGCGGGCTTGGTCTCTTCTGAGCTGGAGTATGCATTTCTACAGGCCTCAGTTAACAGAGCACCTAACCCAGGTCTTGGGCTTGAACTGAGTTATACCACCTCTTCTTCTGATTCTTCAGTTTGTAGGTTACATATGGGACTCCTTGGCTTTCTGTAGCTATAAGCAAATTTCCATAATAAATCTCATACTTGTCCATATCCTATGGGTTCTGTTTCCCTCGAATATCCTTACACTTCATTATGAACTGGACATTTTGCCAGTTACTGTGGGGAACACAAAGAAATTAATTCATTCTTTTAGAGAAACAGATTATATGCTACTTGTAGGGGACAGGATTTGAATCAAGGAAAGTTTAAAAGTGAGGAAGAATGGGGTGTTCCCAGGGTTGGAGACCTCAATAGGTAATAAGACACAGGGGTGAGAGCCTTGAGTATCTTCTGTAGGATTTCTGAAGAAAAATAAGTCTCTAATTAGGAATTATTTTCCTGAGACTTGTCTTGTATACTTCATCATATTAAATTAACACTCGTGGAAAGTTCTGATTAATTAACTTCAGGATAATTATAGTTTTACTGCAAGTAAAAATGCATTTGCTCTACAGAGTAAAGAATTAATGTAATACTTTTTATTATGTAAAATAAAACCTTTAGGGAATTGGCATATTCCATACAATTTACATACTTTGATGAAAATATATTCTCAGATGGTATAATCACCTGAAAACTCTGGTAAACATAATGTTCAACTGCTACTAATTCTTAACCAGCCATATCTCTAACATATTCCAGGACTCTTATATTTGGATATAATGGCTGGCTATCCCATGACTTTTTAAAATGACATGTAGCTTTTAAAAAACATTGTGTTCATAAAGAAATTACAGTCTTGAATATTTTAGAAGGAGACTATTTCAAACCAGTTTCACGTTTGTTCTCGGATTCAGGGTCACGTCTTAGTATGAACTCACTGTAGATCCTTTTGGCATCTAGAATGCTGCGTCAGCTTCCCTTTCTTTTGTAATAGAAGACCTGAGACTAGCAGTCAGGGGAAAGGTAGTTAGCTGGGTCTTCCAGTTACAACTAGGCACATTCCTTACCCTCATGGGGACTTGGGTTTAACTATCTTTGACATAAGGTAGGATGCAGATGACAGTGTATGCTATTTGAAATATTACTCTTCTTTACACTAATATTGGGGTAATTTAGTTTTCTTTCTTAGCTACTGAATTGCATATTGGTTGATTTTAAATTAAAAAAAAATCCTGTTCCTTAATTTTTGAACAATTTGCGAATGGGTGGAAACTTCCCTCTCATGAATGTCTTTTTCCTCATCTGCAGTACGAAAAGGCAAAAATGGTTTTTTAGAAATATGTGCATTTACATATTCAAATGGGGTCTGATTTATATTGTGCCAAGTACCATCACTGACAATTATGACAGAAATATATGTGGCATATGTTCTACTCCAATTTAAAAGTGCCTGTGAAAAACTTAAAAAGAAAAAAATTATCATAATTCTTGCTAAAACCTAAAGATTATATAAATCAATTTACAGGGAAGCTTTTAATTTTTCATAGAACAATATTTATAATTCTCAATTTTTAAACATCTAGTAATTTAAAATATTTTATATTATAGTCATAACAGTAATGATAATGGCATCCCACATTTATAAAGTTCTTACTAGGTGTCAGACTATATAAAATATGCTTTCTGTGAATTTTACTATATCCAATCATTTCTGTAGCCAAGCTGTCCTATTTAATATGTACATAAAGAAATATAAATGATCAATTGATGTTATACAAAGAATAAATCCTTGTGAGGATTTCTACAAGAACAAAATGAATCAGGGAGATAGCTCAATGGCACAGCACCTGCCTGGCATGCACAAGGTCCTGAGTTCAACTCCCAGTACCAAAAACAAAACAGAATGAAAAGAACAACAAAATAAACAAAGCATCTTTTAAAAATAACCACTCTGAAATCATGGGACAGATCTAGCAAATTCTTTTTATTTACATATAAATGTGTACACATACTTTTACTGTACACAGAAAAATCTAAGTATATATACATGTATAGGTCCCATATATTTTGCAATAAATAATACTCTTGTTTTTAGATGAAAATAAAAGGACATTTCACAATATTACTCACTAATCACAAAATTACAAAAGCACCTGATGAATTCAGAGCAAAAACTTCAAGCCTGTACTACCACACACTAAGCCTAGTACGATTTTTACAAAAGACAAAAATCAAACACTGTGAAGATATCACCTGTGAAAGAAAAGAAATGGAGATGTAAAATAGAGAAGAGATCCGCTAGCTTTCTGAACAGCGTGGTAAGGACATTTTTGTTCATTAAGAATTATCTTTCTTTATTTCTCAATTGAATGCTTTACCTCAATGATATTTTACAGAGAAGAAAAGGGAAAGAAGTGAACAGCTATTGTAAAAAGTGACAATTCCATAACACCTGAGTCCTGGAAGCCTATTCCCACCCAGCCAGGCTCTCTTTCTGCACTAATTCAGTGATCATTCAATTCTACCATACAGAAAAGACAAAAAGGACAATTTCCAAGTGATACTAATTTGGAAGTAATTTCAAAAGTCTAGTGAGCCAGGACTCTTGTTTATCAGCACTAAATAATTAAAATGCTCAAATATATCAGGTGATATTACCACCTGGAGCGTGATTCCCCCATTGCAATAATTAACTAAATGAAAGGAAAAACTTTTTATCTTGTAGGCAAGAATTTATGAAACCATAATTCTAGAATTTTCTTCCTTTACTTCCATCACACCTTCCACATTGTAGCTGCTAGTAAACAATCACTTTCTCTCAATTTCAGGGTTGTTCTACATAATTATATGAGATCACACTATCAAAGGAATGGAGTGAGGTCCTGAGCTCTGGGTCAACACTTTTGATAATCTTCTAGTGCTTCATTAGGTAAAACGGTCTAAAACCATTATGGTCTTAACTATTGTTAGACTGACATACCCAGATCTGTTTTCTCAGTGCACCAGTATTATCACTCAGGTGAGAATCACAAGGGCAGTGACCAACACAGGGCTAAATGTTTTAGATCATACTCTGCTCAACTCTATCTCAGATGACAATGCTTTTGATTTCATGGTAGCTTCACGCATGGGTTTGGAAACAACTTTTACCGTTTCATCTCTCATGTCAGTACTGTACAGATGTGGGGAAAGGTACAGCAGTAAGAAAAGGATCAATGTTGGAAAAATCATCATCTATCAAATACAAGCCTTTCAGCTACTTGACCAAGGCTCCTATTTTTAAGGTAACCTTGCAGAGCACATCTGAAAGGCAGGCTTATTTCAAGAGCAATATTTATGACATGCATAATTGGATTCCTTCCCACCGTGTGTGGCTGCCATTGATGTTTCTATTAAACAATAGTATTTTTAGCGCTTAACCACCTTACATGAAAATGATGGTTTCATAAATAGTTTGACTTTAGGAAAGGTACTTTATGGTTGAAACAAAAATGTTTCACACATTTGAATATGTTTTTCTTTTAATTTGAAAACCTCATAGGGAACTACGGTTCACTGCCTGAAACAAAAGGGATCATTTACAATGAAAAATTGGACTTCTTTCTTGGTAATTCTCATAAATACACACATGTCCTCCATTTTCATCACTGTGGAAATATTCAGCCAGAAGATAAGTATGGGGTTTCACTATGGTAATTATAATCAGGACAGACCTTCTGCACAAGTTTATAATCAACACTATAAAAGGCAATGTAAATGCAAATGACCTTGAAAGGCTTAGAGCACAACCAAGACACATGGCTCTGAGTCTGCTCCTGGTAGCAGATCTTAGATGGGTCAAAGTTGCACAGGGCAGTCTTCTTGGCCCGATCTGTTTTTTCATACTCAATGCGACAATTGAAAGATTTGGATTCCTTGGTTTCCAAGGTAGACTGGGGAGAAACTTCAAATTCCACCACTTTGGAAGGAGGTACCAAGCTCACTGAAACATTACCCAGCCCTGTTGAATTATGTCGGAAATAAACACTGAAAGTTCCATTTCCATGGTCGACAATTTTCCCTGTAATGAGAAGGTTGAGTTTGACAGTTTTAATGTTGGAATGAAAGTCACCCCATCCAAACATTTTCTTAAATTTTCCTGTTTTTACTATTGGCCGCCTTTTAGTTCTTGTTAGTGGCTCCTGAATGTCCGTGATGTTGGCCAGCCAATCCCAAAAATTTTCCACGTTGTCTGCATACGCCATAGGCCCAGGCTTTGGCACTGGAGACTGTTTAACGAACAGACGCAGAGGACTGATGATCCGCGAATGTACCACGTTTCCCACCAGCGTTCCTGGAGCATCTTTGTCTTCCCAATCCAGACCCTCTGCGGCATGTACCACCTCTTTACTGTCACAAAATAGCTGTGGGAAAAGAAGAGAGGAAGAAACTTCAGGTTAGGGTTTGAGCCTGCATACAGAAAGAGGGCAAAGAAGTAGAGAAACTTTCAATATTTAGATTCTTGCAGAATGACATCACACAAAAACAGCTGGGCTCAACCATGTAGCGAGATGAGCACTTCATTTCAGTAACATAAAATCTATGTACAAAAACTGAAATGGCAAGGGGAAGAAGAGGATATGTCATTATAGTGGATTGATTGGATTTTACTCATCTTTACAATTTTCTCTTCCAGACTAGGAAAAGCAAGATGTCTTGGTTCCTCTTGTGATAAAATCATTCAATTTGTGAGATATTTTCTTTAGGTAAGAGACAAGTTTAAATGATGAAAATTTCTACAAAGGACCACTGTAAAACATTTGAATATAAAATATTGGTAAATCTCTTAAAATATTTGGAAACACTAGGATCTTATTACTTTCAAAGGCTTAACACATAATTTTATAGCTTTTGATATAATTCTACTTCAAAGTCTGTAACAAAAAAGGCATTTGATTAGTATTAGGAAATTTTACAGAAGTTTTGGTTGAAAACAATATTGATATATTGAGTCATCTTTATAGAAGCAGGAGTTAATGTGAGAAAGTATAATTTAATTAATAGACTATATGATTTAAAGACTATAATAATAATTCAATTATATACAAAACAAAATTACTAAGAAAGAGCTATGTGATGTATTTTTATGGGTTCCACTGCATTTTGGTTCAAATTATATCCACATTCACCATTTGAATCTGATTTTCTTTTATTCTTTTTGTAGTATGACTCTCCTCATGATTTACAAAAATCATTTAGCTGAATCGATATGAATTTTGAGGGATGGAATCATTATATATGAAACTGTTACTTGGAGTGAATATTTATGGATGAGTTATAAAGTCTGGAAAGAAGAGGTTTCTGGTGGAGACACAGATAGCTTCTTATCTCTAATGGCACAAACCAGTCTTGTAATGATTCTCTGGAAAGCTGTCAGCAGGATGAACAGGACGAAGAAGGGAGGCTATGCTTATGGGTTGTTTTGTCAGCCTTTTCAAAGTTGGCCAAACACTCTAAAACTGGTCTCAGATTATTTCAGGAATTACTGCTTTAAATCTAACTTAAAAAAATGGACAGCATCTTATTGATAAATATTGTATTCATCTATATAGTGTGGTTTGGTTGATATTTTCTTTTGTAGGTTCATGAAAGTAGAAGTTTAAGTTCTAAAAGGACTCTATGAAAATGTTTGCACTTAACATCTGACTATAATTACTTTCAATTAAGAATACAAGGACTCAAAATGTGTGGGTGGTAGGAGTTAGAGGGGTGTTATACAGCATATCCTTCCCTTTGATTTTATGAGGCATTTTCTTCCTAATTTCTGGAGATTTAAAAAAATAATTTTCTCTATTCTAAAATTACTGAGTCTGACAAAAGGCCACATTGGTATGTTATATGTTCTTATTTTTATGGGAATCCAAAACCATCTGATTTCTTCTTAGGGGCCTGTGTGCCCTGAATTGATGCTTCTTTATTTTCCCCTGTTGTTGTAAGGATGACATATTAACCAGGAAAAGAGAGATCATTACTCAGGATTTTTGGTACAAAATATGATTGATATTGTAACTGCAGCTTTCTGAATTTTTACTCTAAGTGATGATATGCACAAATCAATTGGTAATAGCCCGTGGACGCCAGTACTCGGCTTTTTTTCCCTTTTTTTAAAAAAAATTTTGCCTCATTTTGACTCGAGTTTCCCAAGATTGGTACAGGCAAGCCTAACTGCATGTCCTCGCTTGGGCCTCTCTCCAGAGAAAGGCCCAAGACCAAATAAGCAGACATAAGGCCCTGGCAGATCATAGTCTAATATTTCTTCTTTGTGATCACTATTCTTTTTGCCCAGAGTCTATTACCTGTTTTTAACTAGTTTCCAATATTTCTTGAGCTTTTCCTGGCTTCAAAAATGCTGACAGGTCCATCTACTATTTGCTGAGTATCTGCTGTATAAGAAATGTTCCTTTGCTTCCTGATCTCCTCCTTGCTGTGGTACAGTTTCCAAACTTCTCTTCTCCTACTTACCTTCCTGTCTTTAGTGGAATAAATCGCTTCTGACATTTTCCATTTTTCACACACTTCAAAACCCCTCAATTATTATATTTATCCTTGAGTCTATCAACTAATACTTTATTGTAAAGCTAAGATACACTTTGCATTTATATACATACCAGGGAGCAAACTCGGGACCTGGTGCTTGTCAGGCCAGAACTTATGCTGCTGAACATCTCCCTGACCTTAATCATGTAGTCTTAACTTAGTAGATTTTGATGCATTTTAGGATACTAATAAACTACAAAATTTAATGGAGCACCTTGCTTATTCCTAGGGTTTGTGATGGTTCCTAGCTTATTAAAAATAATAACTAAGTGGACTTTTAATGAAACATTTTAATGATCTGATTTTCCTGGGAATAATTATGCCATAATGGAACTTCATCCAAACATGTGTGACTCAACTCAGAAATATGAGCATATGAAAACTAAAACTAGATCCATGTCTATCACTATGCATGGAACTAAAGCAGAATATATCAAAGATATAAATATTAAAACAGAAACATTAAATTGATTGGAGGAGAAAATAGGTAGAAATCTTGAAGATATGGGGTAGGCAGAGAGTTCATAAACAAAAACCAAGATGTACTGGAAATACTTCAAAGAATCAACAATTGGGATCTCATCTTATTAAAAGAAGAATTTTTCGCATCAAAGGAAGTCATTAACTGAGTGAAAAAAAAAAAAAAAAAAAAGAAAACCTCCACAAACTAGGAAAAAATTTAGCTAACTGTTTCTCAGACAAAGGAGTTCTATCTAGAACATATGAAGAGTGGAAAAAAATCAGGTCCCCAAAGTTCAAAGACCCAATCTAAAAATGAGATGAAAACATTCTTCTCGGGTGGAGCAATACAAATGGCAAATAATATATGAAAGAATATTCAACATCATTCAAGAAATGCAAATTACAACAATACTGCAATTCCACCTCACCTCAGAAAGATGGGCTCATATCAAGAAATCCATCAATAACAAACACTGGAAAAGCTGTGGGGAAAAAGTAACCTCCACTGTTGGTAGTTGTGTAGACTTGTACAAACACTATTAAAAGCAGTGTGGAGATTCTTCAAAAAAGTAGAATTAGAGGTCTAATTCAACCCAACTCTTCCCCTTCTGGGTATTTTCCCAGGAGAAATGAGAACATCATACCACAACTATATCTCTGTAACCATGTTTATAGCAGTAAAATTTGTCATAGCTAAGTCTTGGAGCAATCCAAATGCCCATCATCTGAGGAATGGACAAAAAACATGTGGTAGTTTTATACAATGGGGTATTATTCAGCTATACAGAAAGATAAACTTGAGGCTTTTATAGATAAATGGATGCACCTAGAGACCATACAGACCTGCGTGTGTAAACATCATATCATTCCCTGGTGTAAGAAACTGAAACAGTAAATAACATTCAAAAGATACAATGGATATGAGGGATGGGGGATGAGGGGAAGGAGAAAAAAAAGAAGGGAAATAAGTCACACGCACGCATGACAGCTAAGATAACTATACTACTACTTCTTATTGGTTTATTGAGAGGAATAATTCATGCTAATTTTTTTGACCAATGCTTCATGCTTATATCTGGTAATCTTATTTTTTTTTTTCCTTCTTTTTGGTGGTACCAGGGATTGAACTCAGGACCTTGTGCCTGCCAGGTAAGCACCACTCATTCCACTGAGCTATCTTCTAGGCCTCTATATCTGGTGATCTTAACAACTACTTTGAAGACAACAGTATGCAATATAACTGCTGTTGATTTCCTATCATCTTGTTTTGAAATTCCATGCCATTTTCAGTGTTTTAAAATTTTTTATTCTCTTGGAAATAAAGAAATATGAGCACAGAAAAACAAAAGCCCGCCAAGCTCACCAAGTAGCTTAATCAGACCTGATCACTTTTATGAAAGTGTTTTAACTCTTCAGAAAAGATTTTCCAGATAAGAGCTTGAAATGGAATTTGATTTCTAAAATATTCATTTTAATACACGACTCTCTGGCCCAAACTTGCTCAAGGAATCCTTGATTTCAAGGTTGGCATACATATAAAAACACATTTAGCTAATAACAGAGCTTTATAATTTTTCTCTCTTATAATGAAATACTAGCAGTTGTTTAGATAGAAATTTTATGCATTATGTAAACATGTACAGGTATTGCTATATACATATTTATACAATTATTATTTTTGCTTATCTGACTACATATTTCTAAGGTGCTTGGACAATATTAGCCAAGTTGAAAGAAGCTGTGTTTAACTATCTGTTTATTACTTTAAAATATGTGCACAGTTCTCACAATTGCTGATTTTTAAATCTAACTTAACATCATCACTTGACCTTAGAGAAAAGGCTGAGAAGCTATAAAGTTAAAATTTTAAAAAGTCAGCAGGGGTGATGCTGCCCATGTGTAATCCCAGCACTATGGGAGGCTGAGGGAGGTGAATCACAATTTCAACCCTAGCCTGGCTAATTTAGTGGGACGCTGTCTCAAAACAAACAAAGCAAAACATCGGGAACATAGCTCAACACAAAAGCCCCCATTTCAATCCCAAGCCCCCATTCTAAGCTATCAGGTAATAATAGGCCATTAGCAGAGTTTATTTCAAAGGTAAATATATTTCTGTGCCCTTAAAATCTCCCCACTTTTTTTTCTCTCTTCTATGTAATTCATTCAGACATTCGCTTGCTGTAATCACTTCATAGCACCCTGCTAACAAGGCCACATTTCCGCTACCAGGTCCATGTAGATAGTTGTACAACATAAAATCTCTAAGGCTCTCACTTGACCACAGAGAACCAAGAGGCAGGAGGGAGCCAGAGGAGCAGCAACCTGGCCACCTTTATCCATGTTCTCCCTCCTGGGAAGCAAAGTGCTGTGGTGGAGAAATCACAGTCTGCTGCACGGGACCTCACTCACTCCTTGCTCAGGTGCATCACCTGAGCTCTGGTTTCCCATGCACACATCCTGCCCTGGCTGCCTGCAAAGGCTAAATAAATTAATAGACGGAAACTAGTCCTGTGGAAAGGTATTCAGTGACCATGGCTCTTCCACGGTCCAGTGAAGGGTCTTGTGCCACCTACTGAAGAAGTATTTTTTTTTTTTTGGTGGAACTGGGGATCAAACTCAGGGCCTTGCACTTGCCATGGAAGTGCTTATTCTACTGAGCTATCTCCCCAGCCCTATATTTTCAAAGGTTTCTACAAATTCTCAAGTCCCCAGCTCACTGATGAGTGCTTAATTGAGAACTTGTCTTGTGTCATGTGACAATTTAACAACCAGGTAGAAATCAACCTTCTCAATCCTAGAACATCAGTCAAATACGTTCTCATGTTTCCAGTCTCCCTTGTAGGTGCATCCCGGCCAGATCAAAGCACAAGTGAGCTCTCTGTCAACAAACTTGTCTAGCTCTTTCCAGCTTGCTAAGTGAGTCAGCAAATCGCATGGAGGTTACAAAGCAGCTGGCAAGTGGCCTCGCTCTTGAACAATTTCTCTGACACACTGGGCTGGGAGAAGAGTATTGGTGGTTCTCAAACTGCTGGCAAATCCCTCTGTCCACGGCAAGAGTGTAAGATGTTATCTACAAACATAGGCTTGTACCCCCAGTTGCTTGTGTATGTGCTGGGGCTCTTCATACTAATTTGAGTGTCACTGCTGTCTTGTGTCCCATCATATTACACTAAATATGCAAAAAAAAAAAAACCCAAAACAGAATTAATCCCAAACACACAATGGAGTTTTAAAAAAGGGAAGAAAGAGGAATTGCTGTGTTTTATCTGTTTGAACATGCCCTGATTTCCACACATTTATCAAAGCTTAAGTAATTTATGTCTTGGCAGGGTGTATCAATTTCACAAAGCACACACATTAGCTAGATACAGTGATATCATATTAGGTTCTTTTCTGCATCTTACAGAAGAGCTCAAAGAGATTAATAAAAGCTCAAACCTTCATCAATTAAATGAAGCAGGTGGAAAGAAGGGGGTAGAGGAATAAGACTGTTTTTCATTTCAGTTCTTTTGTTTTTAGGAGAAAAAGCTGACAGGTTCAAATCATTCATCATAATAAGCTGAAGTTGAATTTCACTGATAATTAAATGCATTTTTCCCCCAGGAGGCTGAGAAGCTGCAATGAATTTTATAGTAGCAGATGTGAGAACTGTCACGAATTATGCAAATAATTTATAAACTAAAAGGCATCTTCTTCTGCAAACATTATATCAGAAGAGCTTTTTTTCTACTGTATCAGTTGTATGCTTTTTAATTAGCTTTTTATTTTGAAATTATTTCAATTTGCTGAACCTTTCCATGTTACCAAGTTCTCCTCGGTTTTCTCCACTGCTGACCTCCACCCCCGCAGTAAGCTTGCTGCTGCTGGTGAGCCGGTACTAAGGCACAGTCATTAATGAACTCCCAAGCGCTGCCTAGATGTTGCTAGTTTTTCCTGAACGTCCTTTTTGTTTGGCTGCAGGGCTCCATCCAGGATCCTACGTTTTGTCAAGTCATTATGCATCCCTGGCTGTGACAGTTTCTTATTCTTTCCTTGCTTTGGATGGGCTTGAATATTTTGAGGAGTACTGGTTAGGTATAGACAGCCCTTCAATTTGAATTTGCTTAATATTATTCTCATGATTAAGCTGGGTTTTATAGGTTTTTTGAAGAAGAAGAATCCAAACATAAGGTGACAGTTTTATCATATCATTTCAGAGGGTCATGTTAGCAACATGACTACTGATGTCAATCTTGATATTCTGGCTTACCTAGAATCTTTACTTTTTGTTCTTTTTTTTTTTTTTAAATTTTGATTTTATTTATTTGTTTGTTTCTTTGTGGAACCGGGGATTGAATTTAGGCCCTAGAGCTTGCCAGACAAGTGCTTAGTCTACTGAGCCATCTCCCCGACACCTACTTCTTGTTCTTTATTTTGAGACGGTGTCTGGCTATGCGATCCAGAATTGATCTTACACTGATATTTCCGTGTAATAGGATTACAGGTGTATGACACCAGCA